ATATATATATATAATATATATATATATATATATATATATAGTTACAAAACTATTTTTGCTAATTTCTAATTGTTGTTAGTTCCGGCTTAAAAGAGCGGCAATTATTTCTTGACTGATCGGACCGAACCGGGAATAACCGGGTTTGCATTATTTGGTCCGGTAGGTTAACTCCATTTAGTTTTCCGGTTCACCAATGCGCCCGGTTCAGTTAACTCCATATGCTTAAATACTGATGGGCTGAACCAAAGCGTCCATTATCGGCCTACAAATCCGCTGAAGGCTCGTCTCGAACCAAACAAGCCCAATTCCCATCATATATAAAAGCCATCGCGTCTCGCCTCAGTCATTCCCTTCGAACCCTAGCCGCCATCCTCCTCCTCCTCCTCCTCATCGTACTCTCCGGCGAGACTCACCGTTGCTGAGATGGCCGACACCCTGGTCCTCCGCGGTACGATGCGAGGCCACAGCGATATGGTAACGGCCATCGCCGCCCCCGTCGACAACTCCGACATGATCGTCTCCTCCTCCCGGGACAAGTCCGTCCTCGTCTGGCACCTCACCAAGGATGCCCCCGCCGCTTTAGCCGACGGTTCTGGCGCCGGCTCTGCCTACGGTGTCCCCCGCCGCCGTCTTACCGGTCACTCTCACTTCGTCGAGGACGTGGTCCTCTCCTCGGATGGCCAGTTCGCCCTGTCCGGCTCCTGGGATGGCGATCTCCGCCTCTGGGACCTCTCCACAGGCGCCACCACACGCCGCTTCTCTGGCCACACCAAGGACGTCCTCTCTGTTTCCTTCTCCGTCGACAACCGCCAGATCGTCTCCGCCTCCCGTGACCGTACCATCAAGCTCTGGAACACACTCGGCGAGTGCAAGTACACCATCCAGGACGCCGACGCCCACACCAACTGGGTCAGCTGCGTCCGCTTTAGCCCCAACGCTTACCAGCCCACCATCGTCTCCGGCTCCTGGGACCGCACTATCAAGGTGTGGAATCTGACCAACTGCAAGCTCCGGAGCACCCTCGCCGGTCACTCCGGATACGTCAACACTGTTGCTGTCAGCCCCGACGGTTCCCTCTGTGCCAGTGGCGGCAAGGATGGGGTCACGCTGCTGTGGGACCTCGCAGAGGGCAAGCGCCTCTACTCGCTTGATGCTGGTGCCATCATCCACTCTCTTTGCTTCAGCCCCAACCGGTATTGGCTGTGCGCTGCCACCCAGGAGAGCGTCAAGATCTGGGACCTTGAGAGCAAGACCATTGTGCAGGATCTCAAACCTGAGACCACCACCACCAAGAATCAGGTAGCATGGGACTCTCTGAATTTCCTGTTGTTTGGTGTTTTTTATCTTCATATAGTGATCGGATATCTGTTTAGTTTGTAGCAAACCCGAAATGCTCATTATGATATGCTATTTATTTAATGTTTATTTTTGTGTTGCTTTTAGGTTAGATGAGACTGTGGCATTCTTGAGCATACTATGAGATTTTCAATTTTTAGGAACATTCAAGATTCCTTTTGCTGCTATTGCCTACAGTGAACTGGAAACTAAGTCACTTCTAGTTCTTTTTGTTGCATAGGTTGATATTTTTCACTGCTAGTGTTTCTGAAGCTTCTTCATGATAACAATTTCAGTTTTAAGTTTACTTTGTGGTCACTTGCGCCTATGATGTGCTAATTTACGATTGAGTTGATATTGTCATGTTGAATCACAGAAAATCATTTCTTATTTGCCGGAAAAAATGATCGGCTTTACTCTCAAATGTTTTTTCTTTTCTATTCACTAGCTGGTAAAACATATCTTAATTAGTCAAACTTGGTGTAAGGTATATCAGCATAGCTTCCTTTTTTCCCTGTCTTAGACATTTTCTCTGGCAAAACATAAGCTAAATAGTCAGGTGGAGTACCATAACTCAGTTTTTTGTTATCATTCTTGAAGTCATTCACAAAGTATGGATAATGTGCTTGATTGTGGAGATGAACTGTAGATTCGTCTTCTTCAGGGCATTTATTTGGGGTTTTTAAGTGAAACTTTTATCCCAGATCAAGATTAAGTAGGATTCTATTAAAAGCAACCTCAAATGAAAGGTATTAGCTGTCATGAAGAATATTCTCTATAAATCAATCCAGAGAGATGTCAGCACAAATTGCTTCAGTAATCTACCAGAGTAAATCAGCCACAGTTCTGGACTGTTGCTCGAAAGTTCATGTGTCCTTCTTAATCTATACGTGCTGAAATTGCTGCTGGTGACATGCACTTTGTTGTATCTGATATCCTTGTCTTTTCTTTACAGTGAGTCAATATCAACCAGCTTCTAGCTTCAAACCAATGGCTTTTGCCATATTGCAATAAGGATTCCCATAATCTGCTAGTTGTTTTACAAATGAAATAAGTAATGTTGAGTTTTTTAATGCTAGTTGTCTCTGATTTTAGGGTGTTTTGTTTGACTTGATTTGGTTTTGTCAGGTTCGTTCAACTGACAGTTTTTGTCTTGATCAATATCAGCAGGTTTTGATAGTTGACATATGGGTATAATTTTTTTATGAATGGTGTCAACAGGGTCTTCTAGAGAAAGAAGCAACTATTGCTTGCACTTATTGTGTAAATTATGGCATACAATCATGTATTAAACCACCACGATAACTAATCAATATCAGCAGGTTTTGATAGTTGACATATGGGTATAATTTTTTTATGAATGGTGTCAACAGGGTCTTCTAGAGAAAGAAGCAACTATTGCTTGCACTTATTGTGTAAATTATGGCATCCAATCATGTATTAAACCACCATGATAACTACTTTAGATGGTATCTCAATGGTGTACGGTATGTAGACTTTGAGTTTTTTGTGCTAAACCTTAGACATGGATGCATGGCCACAACACAATATCATTAATATTTTCCTGAAAAGTTTGTGCTATAACTACATATCTGCTGATTTTTTACGATGATAAGGTGCAATCTGCCACCATGTCAGGTCTCATAAAATTAGCTTGTTAGGGAAAGTGAAGATGCTAATAATAACATGAAATCTTGACATTTGCCATGGAGTAACATAGTTGAATCTTCAATCTTGAAAAGTCACAGTGGAGTGATAGCCATCCCTCAGCACTTTGTAATTTGTTTGGTTTTTGTTTACACTGAGAACCACTGTAACACAGTATTCTTAGTGTCGAAAGCTGGAACGACTGAACAGGCACTGTGGGTTTTGCAATAGTTAGGCTTCATACAATTTTTTAGTAGATGCTGATACAAACTTTCCAAGTGGATTAATTGAGTTCAAGTTAACCATAGTCATTTTGTGCTATATGTTAGCTTAACTTGTTTTCAGTTGTGCACTGAAGTCATTTCCTTTAATGCCTGTAATGTTGTTTGTAATCTTACAGTATAGTACACACTAAATTTGATTAAGAAATGTCTATTTGGTTATGTTTGACTTGCAGTTGCTGTTTTCAGGTCTTGTCTGGTAATTTCCCTTTTTAGCTTTTAATTATATGCTTACTGTCTTGCATGTTTTTTTGGTGTTCAGAGTTTAATTTGGTAAGTCAAGTTAGATGTTATCAATTACCTTTGTTCCCACAAGTCATGCGGTTAGATTAAGCTTTACGATTAGAAATGGATTTCTTCTGTCTACTATCACCAAGAGACTTCATATTATTGCTTTAAATTATTGTCCAATTTGATATGTCATCCTTTACTGTTGCTGCAGATGCTGTACTGCACAAGCTTAACATGGAGTGCAGATGGTAGCACGCTGTTCACTGGTTACACTGATGGAACCATCAGAGTCTGGGAGATACGATACTAGACATGGAGGAGCTAATCCGAAACTCGCACTATGCTTATTTTTGCTTGGAGACAGACATAATGCTTGTTAGTTTTCGTTATTCTGATTGATATTTCTGGCAATTTAGTTTGTTGTTCTTTGGAATTTTAAGTAGCTCTTCGAAGCTATTCTCATTTGAAAGCTGTGATACAGTTCCTTTGATTTCATAGTAATTGCTATCATTAAATTATCTCGTCCACATACATTTTTGTGATACATCCTTGAGTGCAGCAATTGGTTTTCTACATAAATGTTAAGCATAATTAGTCTTTATGCTAGCGATGAGACTGGTAGGTTGGTGTCGTGATAGCTTGGTTGGCAGAAGAAATAGCTTGTGGAAAATTGGACCATTTTAGGGAAGGAAACTCCACAGCGAAGGTTTACTTTCCACACGGCTTCAAATACTGCAAGTTTTCTGCAATCAAGAACGTGTGTATTAGTAGGTAATGTGCCTTGAGAATTTTAGCCTCTGCTATTTTTTTTGTTGAAGCCCCAACTTTGGAGTTTAATTTTTTGGCACTAAGTCCAAAGCCATTTATATATATATTTTTTGTTTGGAGTCGAACTAATTACTTATGATCATTATTATATTTTTTGTATTTAAAAAATTTATATTAAAATATTTATAATTTTAAAAATAAAATAGATAATCTCATTTATCCTAAATAAAAATAAATTTAATATTTTATTTTTAAAATAAAATAAAAAATAATTATTTTTTTATTTTTATAGATTTAACATGTGGTATTATATAGGGCTTGATAGGGGCTTCACTAGCTTCATGGTCTGCAGCGCGAGCGCATGCATTCCCTTTTAATGACATGGCATGCATTCCCTTTTAATTTTTGAAAATAAAAATGTTCCACGAGAATTTCTTAAAATTCGAGTTTTTTTTATAGAATATATATATCCTAAAAATTTCTGTTTGTTTGATTGATGAATTTAGCCTATCTTTCTTTTATTCTAAAAGTCAGTCTAATTCATATCTTCATCCTCATAACCAAAATAAAAAATCTTTGCGATTGAGGTTTCTTGAATGGCTATAAGATTATTCCACTAGTGTTGGTTTATGACATGGCAAAATGATCTGATGATTATAAACAAAGAGTACGTTCAAAGATGGGTTTCCTAATATGTAAATCACAAATCAAATAACTGAAGTTAAATTATGATGAATCTATTAAGGAAAAATGATGTTAGTGGTATGGATTTCTTTTACCAAGTGTCTTTAGATTCATCATCGCATAGGATAAATTTAAGATTATTCATGTGGAATCGATCGAAGATATTATGTTCAAATTCTATCCAAATCCGTTCTTATCCCTTTAAAATTCTGAAACTTGGTTCACAATTATTATTATTATTAGAGAGGGGATTTAGCCCTTCTGATATTTTTGTGTTCTGCTCTAAATCTTCTTTTTCTGCTTTTACTGTTTAGTTAATATATATATATATATATATATTTATCTTTGGCAACAAAAGAACAAAAACTTACAATTGGGAATCCATTAACAATAGCGACGCGATCTGTCGTATGCCAACAGATTAGACACCATAGAACAAAAACTACACATCAAACAGGCATATCTCATACGTTAATGGGGTTGAGAATTATATTCTCTTGAAGAGAAATGGAGGCTGAGTTGTCGGTATCAGAGAGAAAGACACAGATCTAAGCCATGACTCTTCCCTTCTTCTCCCTCCTCCTCCCTCTCCTCCTTCTTTCTCCTTTGCTTCGGAGGTCTCGACGCGCCGATCGCCGAGCTACCACTGCCTTCCTCTTCGTCCTCCTCCTCCTCCTCATGCATGAAGTCTTCCATCTCGAACCTCGGCTTCCAAACAGGCTTCGCCGCTTCCTTTCTCAGCCTCTTACGTTGGCTTCTCCTCAGGGAGTCTCTGATCGCTCTGATGTTCGCGATCAAAGCGTAGAACTTCTCCATCCCTTCCTCCTCGCGGTTGTCATCTCCTTCCCGACCCCCATCCGGTGACTCCGCCGGAGCTGATCTCTCTCCTCGTCTCCTCCCTCCTTCCATCCTCCTACGTAGAAACAGTCAGCCCGTCCGTAAGACGAGACGCCAAGAGAGAGAGAGGGTGTGAGTCGTCTATATAGCGCTGGAGAGCGGAGGAGTGATGCGATTTGGTCAAATCTCGAACGTCAATTCGGGTGACTGCGTCAACCATCCTGCGCTCGACTTCATATGGTCGTCAGCGCAATGACGTACGAAGCAGCATCAGAGGAAGCTCGCACTGACACCACAACAAATAAATAGACAAGATAGACAAGGAAACCTTCATTCCTTCTCTTGGGGAAGAAGACAAGGGTAGGGTGGGTGCAGATGGGGCATCATCATCTCATTGCCTTTCCAACTCCCCCGTGACATGAAATCATGGATCACCATCATTAAATACATGATATAACCAAAGATATTAGAGTAGATTGCGTGCCTCTAACAATCTTAGATCCTTTGTCCTATCAATAGTTGATGGGTTTTCTTTTTCTTCCTAAAATTGATCCATTGATTCTAAACTATTAATCTAAACAATCGATTGATATAGGGATTAAACTGAGCATTATATGATTCATTTATTAAAAGTCAAATAACAATGAATCCGAGATCATTATTAATATATATCATATGGATATCGATACGGTCTAAATATTTTAAGTTCAAACCGCAACACGAATTTAGTTACCAAATTCATTTTAGTTTAATATCATATCAAAATTCAAAAAATGATGATTTTGAATCAAATTGATCAAAATTAGATTGATATAACATATATAATTCGATTCTTTCGATTCTTAATAATGTATTATTATTATTATTATTATTATTATTATTATAAACTCTTACTATTCTTGACTAATAGTCTTGAAAACAAACACTGTATGCAATGGCTTGATTCAGTACATAGAAATCTATTTTATATAGCAGTGAGTGATTGAGATAGAATATAATTATATGTATACTGAGGCAGGTGTTAGAACATTAGAAACCTTCAGGGAAAGAGATGCAGGTGGAAAGTAGTGGAATTGGTCAACGATCTATTTGTTTGTTTGTGGAGAGACTTGTGGCTGCGTAAGTCAACGCTTAAGTCATTCATAAACATCCAATCCGTTCTTTTCTCGACACTCCCAAATTCAAACTTGCGTATTAGATTTTCTTCTTGTTTGTTTTTTTTTATTGCTATGCATAAAAATTATTGGTCATTAAGCACATAAAAATTATGTTTCTTTGTTGAGATAAGAAAATAGGGTGCCTTAATGACATCTCCTTCTTCTTCTTCTTAAGAGAGAGAGAGAGAGAGAGAGAGAGAGAGAGAGGAAAATGTCAACCAGAAATAAACAAGTTTTCTTGCTACATCCCATCGGCTAAAGAAGAACACATTCATAAGAACTCATTTGCAAGATCTAAAGAAAGAATAATATATTCTTTTAGGGGTCAGTTTATGTTAAAAGTTTGATGGAGGAAAGCTTAAATTTTCTTCCTCCTTCACTCTTTTCTTCTAATCGCTGCTTACTTATTTTTAATCTCTTAGCATAAATGTTCTCAAGTTTTGGAAAGAGAGGAGTGTAGCTAAGAAATTATTTTTCACAATATAATACGTGGGTTTAATCCATAAATTTAATGCAATACGATATTGATTGTTTTTTGTATTATTGTTCTTCCCATCAAGTAATTGGGAATGTTATGTGGACAATTAAGAGTTTATAAGTTCCGAGTTGATTGAGGTGTTGGATAATTTAAAGTTATGGAACATATGGTTTCGTGATTAGTTTGACACAAAAATTTATAAAAGGATTAACTTAAAGTAACCCCAATAATTTGAGAACTATCCATGTAATTAGTTTATATGTATATTTTATACACTTGTTTTTTTTTAAAAAATATTTCATAAAAATTTATGTCAAGTAATACTTCATCGACATCGAGATCTCTATCAACAACCAGTTCGGACGACTCCTTAATGTCTCGAGGTAGATCGGTCTACTTTCATCTTGAGCTAGAACTTGATCGAGTTATTTTCTCAACATTGTATCAGACGACTGACGCTAAAGTTATCAATTTTGGTATTAGAAGGAGAATTTGACATGATGTAGAACAATAATCTTCGGAAGAAGGTCCATTAGCATTTATATCTTTTTCACCATGAGGTTTGGAGCAACCCAACCCACATTCTCCTCTATTATCACTTTTAGACATAACTGAATCATCATCCATATCATTATAACTCAAGCTTCTCTCCATATGCAATTGATCAACCACTCATGGTGGTATGGGTAGAAGCCTTGCTTGGGCTATCCCAATAACTCTATATTCTCTCATGAATGATATAGTCATCAATCACTTCACTCACATAATGTAGATCTAATTGTGATTGAACACTCTATATTATAGCTATATCATGCTAATACGGTCACTCACCACCCCCTATGGGGGAAAACGATCGATCAAATAGATTCAAGTATAAAGCTTCAATGAATGACACCAACGCCACTTTCTTTATTCGATTCCAAGAGATAGAGTAGCAATTGAAAGAGAATTATAATTTACTAGAGAAGAGGGTGAAACAAACTCATATAGTCACTCTCTCTTCATCCAAGGATTCAAGAGAGGGAGTCAATCTCTTAGGGATCCCAATTACGGAAATATTTAACAACAACATATATCGATCCCAAAGAGCATATAGCACCGACAAATGACTCCCTATGCCATGTTAGATTCTTTGTCGTGCCAATCATTTATAATCATACTTCGGGGAGTAGCTCAATAATAATTTCATCACCGACCTTTTATATCAGTGTTTAGCAAACTTACAAAGTAATTTGGAGCATATTTCATTAGTGGTCGACTGAATGATCCTCTTGAGCGAGGGCCACTCATGACACCATTTCTCATATTTTTAGCTTCCTTCTCTTCTAGGGATGAAGTCTAGGATTGTCATTGAAGTCATTCTTCATCTAAGAATTTTTTGTTATTCTTTATCCTCATTTTCTTCTTTTATTCACATACCATATTCATCTATACTTTAGACATCTCATAGACTGAAATAAGTCGTGTATTTTTAAGACCAATCTCAAGTGATATATCAGGAGTGACATCCATTTCATTGTTGCCTAAATCTCTACCAATAAAATTATCTCCGATGACTCCTCGATGTCTAGGATAGAGCAATTTGTTTTGGCCTCAATTTCATCATCGCATTAGACAATCTGTTTCAAAATTATAAAAAAGGATTACAAGAAATATTCATCATCAAATCGCCAACAAGTCAAGCTTAGTTACCATTGCATCTCAATGATATTATTTTTTTTCCGAAAGATTTAAGCTTTTTTATTATAACAAGAAAGAGAAAATATCTTTATTTTATTTGTTTTTCTCTCATTCTCTTGATATGTAATATCTTATTTCCCTTATTGATAATATATTTTATATTTTTTTAAAAATTATTAACCCTTTGATCCGAGAAAATTACTTATCTGTTCAACCATCAACCCATTGACTTCGAGGATTTACCAATTCGACGTCAAACGTGCTGCCCACATAAATGGGTACAAAAAATCCAATCGAACGACCAAAACCTACGCTTTATGAAGCCCACTGGAAGATCCACAAAAGTCAACAACAATTTATTATGCATACCGCAGATCGAAGCAACGTTGACTCACATCGATCTCAGGAGGATATCCGTTGTTTTCAGCGTCAATTAAGCCAAGAGAGCAACCCTCACTCCCATTCACTTGTCTCGCACTCTCATCTTCCTTTATTCTCACGTCACCTTTTCTCGACCTCCAAGCAATCCTTTGACACACACACACACACAGTCTCTTTGCCTCTCGAGAAAGCATTGTATTCCACACCACAGCGTGGCCGCGTGCGTCCTTTCCTCCTCCGTCATCGGCGCAGCCAACGCCTGCAAGCCAACGCACCGCGAGAAGACGACGTCGCTGAAGCCACCAGAGTTCGTCACTTTGCAGAGCGCAAGAGTGGTGGACCTATGAGTCAGTCACCCGTCACCGTCATTTCTTAATGCCGGATCGGATGCTGCGGGCCCGGACAGGAAAATTGGACGTAGTCGGTTCCTTTCATACGTGGCGAAATATTATTCGTCAAAGCAGCTGTTTGGTATTGAGCGATGGAGAGGCCGAACGAAGGGCGTCGTACCCGGGTCGGATGATACGCGGGCTCGGACAGGAAAATTGCGCGTCGCCATTCGTAATCATGCGTGCCACTATCTCATTCGTCGAATCAGCTGTTTGGCATTTAGCGATGGAGAGGCTGAACGAAGGGCCGTCGTTCCCCGTCACCGTGATTTCCGAACGCCGGGGTCGGATGACACGCGGGCTCAGATCGTACGTGCCACTATCTCATTCGTTGAATCAGCTGTTTGGTATTGAGCGATGGAGAGGCCGAACGAAGGGCGACGTTCCCCCGTCACCGTCATTTCCGAACGCCGGGTCGGATGGAATGCAGACTCAGACAGGAAATTGTACGACTGGCGACACGAGTCTTAACACGTCCGACCGAGATGGATGCTCCTAACAGTCGTGGCGTGCTGATACGCTCCCATAGCTGTTTCGTGTTTTGTGAGTTGCAGCAGCTGATCAAAGCGAAAAATGGCTCATTCCCTTGCTGCTGATACAAAGAATCATAACTGACCTCGTGATGGCGATTAATCGGTGGAAACATCGAGCGGGTTTCAATTATGCATATTTACCCCAACGAAATCCATGTATTGCATATGTACCTTTGTTTAGGGACAACCATATATAGTTTCTGCAAATTCGTTGTTTGCAAGGTTGTATTTACAAAATTCTTTGGAGGATTTATACGTAAATAGAACTACTGGAGAGGTGTTTTCGAATATAGAACGAATTAATATGGACAGAATAATTAACCAAAATAAAAAAAAAGAAAGAAAATAAAATAAAAGAAGAGCGGAGGACGACGCCGCCTGTTTCTTCTCGGCGATCTCCGACCTCGAGGCGATCCCGAAATCCTAATTCTAATGCCGATCTCGCGCAATGGTCGCCCTTGACCGTGGTGGTGGCTGCC